GAAGTTTCCAGGCCCCCCATATGCTGCAGCAATTTTTTGGGTTGATGTCGTTCAGGAGATGTGCCTGGTGTTATACTCACCCCAAGATCTCTCCTTGATGTGTTTGTAGTCCTGGCCCCCCTAGACTGTACTCCGTCTGCGGTCTCTTTGCCCCTTTCCCCAAAACCTCATGACTTTTCCTTGGTGGGTTGAACCCAAGCCAGTTGCTGACCAGGTTGCAGCCTGTCCAGATCCCTTTGTATTTCCGCCTGGTCTTGGATCGAATGAACTCTTCTCATCAACTTCACGTCATCTGCAAACAGGGACACATCGGAGTTTATTCCTTCCGTCATGTCGTTCACAAATACCAGAAACAGCACTGGTCCTAGGACTGACCCCTGTGGGACCCCACTGGTCACAGGTGGCCACTCTGACACCTCGCCACGTACCATTACTCCTTGCTGTCTTCCTGACAAATATTCCGTGATCGATTGCAGTGCCTTCCCTGTTATCCCTGCTTGGTCCTCCAGTTTTTGCACTAATCTCTTGTGTGGTACTGTGTCAAACACCTTGCAGTCCAAGAAAATGCAATCTACCCACCCCTCTCTCTCTTGTCTTACTGCTGTCACCATGTCATAGAACTCCAGTAGGTTTGTGACACAGGATTTCCCGTCTCTGAAACCATGTTGGCTGTTGGTGATGAGATCACTCCTTTCTAGATGTTCCACCATTCTTCTCCTGACAATCTTTTCCATGATTTTGCATGCTATACATGTCAGTGACAATGGTCTGTAGTTTAGTGCTTCATGTCTGTCTCCCTTTTTAAAGATTGGGACTACATTTGCTGTCTTCCATTCCTCAGGCAATCTCCATGTTTCGATAGATGTATTGAATATTGTTGTCAGGGGTACACATAGCGCCTCTGCTCCCTCTCTCAGAACCCATGGAGGGATGTTATCTGGCCCCATTGCCTTTGAGGTATCTAGCTCACTCAGAAGCCTCTTCACTTCTTCCTCGGTTGTGTGTACTGTGTCCAGCACATGGTGGTGTAAGCCACCTCTCCGTCTTTCTGGAGCCCCTTCTGTCTCCTCTGTGAACACTTCTTTGAATCTCTTGTTGAGTTCCTCACATACTTCACGGTCATTTCTTGTTGTCTCTCCTCCTTCCTTCCTTAGCCTGATTACCTGGTCCTTGACGGTTGTTTTCTTCCTGATGTGGCTGTATAACAGCTTCGGGTCAGATTTGGCTTTTGCTGCAATGTCGTTTCATATTGATGTTGGGCTCCCTTCTTATCTGTGCATATTCATTTCTGGCTCTACGACTGCTCTCCTTATTCTCCTGGGTCCTTTGCCTTCTATATTTCTTCCCTTCCCTAGCACACTTGGTTTTTGCCTCCTTGCATCTTTGGGTGAACCATCGGCTCATCCTAGCTTTTTCATTATTCCTGTTACCCTTGGGTACAAACCTCTCCTCAGCCTCCTTGCACATTGTTGCTACATATTCCATCATCTCATTAACTGGCTTCCCTGCCAGTTCTCTGTCCCACTGAACCTCATTCAGGAAGTTCCTCATTCCTGTGTAGTCCCGTTTCCTGTAGTTTGGTTTCATTTGTCCTGGCCTTCCTGCTTCCCCCTCCACTTGTAGCTCTATGTGTATTCGAAGCTCAAAACCACATGATCACTGGCCCCAAGGAGTCTTTCATATGTGATGTCCTCAATATCTGCACTACTCAAGGTGAATGCTAATTCCAGTCTTGCTGGTTCATCCTCTCCTCTCTCTCTTGTAGTGTCCCTTACGTGTTGGTACATGAAGTTTTCCAGTACCACCTCCATCATCTTAGCCCTCCATGTATCTTGGCCCCCATGTGGCTCCAAGTTCTCCCATTCGATCTCCTTCTGGTTAAAGTCGCCCATGATCAGGAGCTTTGCCCTGCATGCATGTGCTCTTCTGACCACTCTAGCCAGTGTGTCAACCATCGCTCTATTGCTGTCTTCATACTCTTGCCTTGGCCTCCTGCTGTTCTTTGGTGGGTTATACATCACTCCACTTATCACCTTGGGACCTCCAGAGTGAAGCATTCCCGCTATGTAATCACTTTCTTCTCCGCTGTCTCCTCTCTCCAGCTCATCAAAATTCCATCGGTGTTTGATCAGCAATGCCACTCCTCCACCCCCCCTGTTCCTTCTGTCTTTTCTCAGGATCTGGTATCCTGCTGGAAAGATGGCATCTGTTATCATACCTGTAAGCTTGGTTTCTGTGATCGCTATGATGTCTGGTGATGCCTCTTTGACTCTTTCGTGCCACTCCTCCCACTTGTTTGTTATTCCATCAGCATTTGTGTACCATACCTTCGGTTTCCTTTCCAACACTGTGGTTTGGGGGGCCTGTGGGGGTGGGAGACCTGGTAGCATACTGTGGGATTCTATGGTTGGGGGTTTGGGTGGAAGCTGTGGGTATGGATTGTATTGTGTGTTGGGATGGTGTGATAGGTTGTGGGGTTCTGAGGATAGTTGTGTGTGTGCTTGCCCTTGCTTCTCTGTTCTGCTCTGACTGACCTCTGCTGGTTCCATCCTTGTCTCCTTTCCTAGTTCCTTTCACTTTTTTGTCCTCTCCCTCAGCTGCTTTCTCTCTGTTTGTGTTCTGTCTCTGTCTAGGAATGCCTTCTTGTACTCTTCCGAACTTTTCAACCGTGGTTTCTCTTGGAGGATCCTGTTCTGCACTGTTTCTGTCCTGAGAATCAGCTTGATTGGTCGGTTTCTCCCCTTCAAGTACCCCCCTATTCTCTGAAAATTTACAATCTCATCCATGTCTTCTCCTCCTATTTCCGTGATGATTTTCTCAATCTCCTTTCTTTCTTCCTGCCGTCTTTCAGTGTGTGTCCTTTCCTCTCTCTCCCGAAGCCCATGGATAATCACTGATTTTGCCCTTTCCTCCTCCCATTGCCTCTTCCTCTGTGACTCTGGTTCCTGTCTGTATGTGGTCATTTTCTCCCTTGATTTTTCCAGTGGCTCTTGGTAGCATGGTTGTGCCTCAGCATTCGACCTATCTCCCTCTCCATCTGCACCCATCTGCTCTTCCCTTCCACTCCCTGGCCCTTCTTTGCAGGCTGATATGACCTTAGCATAATTCATACCTCCTTCCTTCCTGTTCAGCCTCTCATCATCGTATGGTGTGTCTTCTCTGGTCACTACCCCTGAGACTTGCTTCAGCCTGTTTACCTCAAATTCTAGGACCTTTACCCTGGCTACTGCAGTTTCGACTTGTGCCTCCCAATTCTTCGTCTCCTTCTCCAACCTCTTTTCCCATTTCACAGAGAGCTCTTTCTCCATTTTTTCAGAAAGCTCTCCTAATTTTTCTCTCCCATTCTTGCTCTATCCTTTTCCCACTGTTCCTTCTCCATCCATTCCTCCCTACCAGTACCATTGTCATCTGATCCCTGATTCCTGCCCCGCCTCTTCACTGGTTGCTACTGGATCCTCTCTCTTCCTGTTCCATGAGCTTTATCAAACCTCGCCTTAAAACTATATATGGTTCCCGCCTCCACTACGTCACTTTCTAGGCTATTCCACTGCCTGACAACTCTATGACTGAAGAATACTTCCTAACATCCCTTTGACTCATCTGAGTCTTCAACTTCCAATTGTGACCTCTTGTTTCTGTGTCCCCTCCCTGGAACATACTGTCTTTGCCAACCTTGTCTATTCCACACAGTATTTTATATGTCGTTATCATGTCTCCCCTGACCTTCCTGTCCTCCAGTGTCGTCAGGCCGATTTCCCTTAACCTTTCTTCATAGGACATTCCCCTTAGCTCTGGAACTAACCTTGTCGCAAACCTTTGCACTTTCTCTAATTTCTTGACGTGCTTGATCGAGTGCGGGTTCCAAACAGGTGCTGCATACTCCAGTATGGGCCTGACGTACACGGTGTACAGTGTCTTAAACGATTCCTTACTAAGGTATCGGAACGCTGTTCTCAGGTTTGCCAGGCGCCCATATGCCGCAGCAGTTATCTGGTTGATGTGTGTTTCCGGAGACATGCTAGGTGTTATACTCACCCTAAGATCTTTCTCTTTGAGCGAGGTTTGCAGTCTTTGGCCACCTAGCCTATACTCCGTCAGCGGTCTTCTGTGCCCTGCCCCGATCTTCTTCTAAATTAGACACATGTGTCTAATTTAACAACGTGTTGGTTCTTTGAACCATTCATCTTTAATCCTGTCAGACACTGCAACTTCTTGGGATCTTAATAATTGGGAATTCTTCGCTTGCCTAACCCTTGGGCACGACCTACTTCCACATTGGACAAATGTAACACCACCTACGACTGCTGCACTTCTCCTGCCATACGGTTTATAAGCTGCTTCTCCGCTCATATGCCGTATTCTATTCAAGATTGATGGACTGACCACATCGACTCAAGGTTGAGGGACTGATTACCTCATTCTCCTCCTGTTCTTCAAGTTTATCCTTAGTATGGACTGATGAAGCCACTGTGTGGCGAAACGTTTCCTCAATAAAGATATCCAAGAGTTGCACACGTGTCTAATTTAACAGTGTTTAAATTAATTTCTTATGTTCTTATATAGGTGAGTAAATAAAAAAACAGTCAGTAATTTCTCTCCTTCCACACACACACAATGGTCCAAGTCGGACCGAAACGTCGTCGTAGCTTCTCTCTTTTATGTGCGGGTTATTTGTGTATCGTTCCAGTCACGGTATTGTGCCTTTTTGTTATTTATTTCTCTCCTTCCTTTTCATGTTCCTTTTCCATTCCATCCGTTTCAGCATATCAGGTCACCTTGGGTCCTTCCCGGACCCTAACAGGTAGTTGATGTCAGTCATTACAATGACACTAGGGTCCGCCTCTACAACAATTTTCATTATCTGATTCTTTGACCTACCGACGTCACCTGACATGACCTCACACACATGATTTGCGTTACTTACCATAATAACATTTCGCCTGGCAAGACCCCAAGAGATTCTGGCTCGTCCAGCATGACTCCGTGAGTTTCTGGCTAACCCAGCATGACTACGCGAGATTCTGGCTCCTCCACCACCACTCCGGGAGATCCTGGCTCATCCAGCATGTTAGGTAAGACACATATGCAACAGTTAGGTATCTTTATTTCGAAACGTTTCGCCTACACAGTAGGCTTCTTCAGTCGAGTACAGAAAGGTTGATAGAAGCAGAAGATACTTGAAGACGATGTAATCAGTCCATCACCCTTAAAGTTTTGAGGTGGTCAGTCCCTCAGTCTGGAGAAGAGCATTGTTCCGTTGTCTGAAACAATATGAAGTTGAAGTGACAGAATGGGGCCTTTATATAGTGCCAGGAGGTGAGACGTAGGTTGCTTTGGGAGGGCAGGTCCTTCTCAAACCCAGCCGTTCTCACTAGTAGAGGTTGTCGAAGTGGTCTGTACCAAGATACCCTTGTGTTGCAGTGTCTGACAGAATGAACATTAAAATGGTATGAAATACCGACAGATTGTTAGGTAAGACACATATGCAACAGTTAGGTATCTTTATTTCGAAATAAAGATACCTAACTGTTGCATATGTGTCTTACCTAACAATCTGTCGGTATTTCATACCATTTTAATGTTCATCCAGCATGACTACGCGAGATTCTGGCTCACCCAGCATGACTCCTTTTCAACCAGGTTCACCCGGAGTCAGCCTTACTCACCTCGTCAGTAAAGTTCATCCAACGTAATCTGGTGTGACCTCACCCAACCCAGTGTAACCTAACTTAAAATTCCTTATACTCAAATACGAATGTAGGAATGCTGCAGCCAAGTATGGCCCAGTAGGCCTGCTGCAGTGTTCATCCATTCTTACGTTCCTGTGTTCTAAGGTATAAATAAGCACAAATAACCAGCAACATAGAAGACTGAGACTCATGACGACGTTTCAGTCCGACTTGGACTATCAACTTCAGTATTCCTATCTGACCCTTCATATCATTATGCTCCCTGTATATTCGTACCTCCTGTCTACCCAGGTAGACCTATTTGTGACTCGATAAAGCCACTGTGTGAGCGAAACATTGCCAGTAAAGGATCACATTATACTACTATATTTCTGTCTACTCCATCGTGTCGGTATTTTATATATATATATATATATATATATATAATATATATATATATAAATATATATATATATATTATATATATATATATATATATATATATATATATATATTATATATATATATACATACATGGTTTAGAAAGACACGCAAGCAAACACTATGACATATTTATAAGAAAACGTATCGGTCCTGGGACCTTGATCACTTCTAACATACAGAGATAGAAAGACATTATATATATATATATAGGCGGAGAGTGAGGTGTGAGTGACGCATGGTGACCTGAAGAATGTCAAGTTGGGATGAGGACGGGTAGACGATGAAATCATGTGACTCCTGTGTTGTTGGGTTGGTGTTGCAACACCAACCCAATAGAAGGAGAACAACATTACACTTAATTATACTACATATACATGAGTGGGGTATGGGTTAATGAGAGTTAGTCCTGCCTAGCATGGGCCAGTAGGCCTGCATCAGTGTTCCGCTTTTCCTCTATAGATTATGCTCTGCAATTCTGGTCTCCGTATAACAAAACGGATATAATGCGCTGGTGAATGTACAGAGGAAGGTAATAAACTATATCTGAAATATATAGTATGAAGACTAGTTAAAATCACTGAACATGTGCTCAAGGATGACTTCAAATTAGAGGGACATAACTAAGGTGTAGAAATAAAAAAATATAATTAAATAAAGACAATATAAATAAGGTGGTGAAAATATTTTTACTGAAGCAGGTTTGACATGTGAAGGTGTTAGCAGGACTTAGCAAATTTTCAATAGGTAAAACTGATTTTAATTGATGCCATTGAATCCTTTGTTAGATCAGCAGACTTTCCAGGTACTCTGGCTCCAGACCCCAGACTCACAAGTACTTTTTTCTTAGTTGTATCTGCTTCCACACTTCCCACAATGATCCTTAATGGGTTAGTGGCCAGATGGGAGGTACAGGTATATGGAAGGAGGCTGGAGGTCATGTGAAGGCTAGAGGTCAGGTCATGTAAGGTGTCGCCGGGTGAAGGGCAGGTTGACCTAGCTCGGGAACGGGTCACAAGAATGGTCAAAGGCTATCATAGTCCATTTGATAGTGTGACTTAGCGTGGGAATAAAATGGTCAGTGGGAAAGTTTAACTCAGGGTTTAAAGGTTTCGCGAGTGAGGTTTTGGGTGATACTGGACCAGCATTATCGACCTCGCCATCCCTTGATGAATATTATTAGGAATTAATGCATTATACTAACTTGGCTATATGTACAATGAAACGTAAGGTTCTTCATTGTTTCTCATATTTCACTAACATGTAACGCACCATATCATCTTCCATCTTACGTTAATATTTAACGCAATATATTATCTTCCATCTTAGGCTACCATGTAACGTACTTTCTCATCGTACGTTAAGATGTAATTCACTGAAGTAACTTCCACATTACGTCATGACGTACTGTGTTATATTGTGAAGAAATCACAAGTACATAGTTACCTCTACACAGGGATTTATTAAGTCATTGGCTTGTTAAAGCCGTACACAGTGGAACGTTATATTGATTAAAGCTTGCTACCTCCTGTGTCTGTTCGTCCTTACTGTCAAGAGTACACATTTGTCCTCTACAGTCTACATTGTCTTCCGTCGTAGGCTCGTGAAAGCTCGTGAAAGCTGGCTGTCCCACCGCTGACCTGCTCAAAAGCATGTTTATTGTCAGCAAACATCAATTCATATAAACAAATCCCCAGACGTATAAGTATTCACAACTAATTCACAGTTTGGAGAGGAGTCTTCAGGTGACGTTTAAAGGTCTGCTATACGTCATTAAAATGTCGTAACCTCATAATGGTTCAGGACGGACCGAAACGTCGTATATAATTTTTTATTCTCCAAATCAAGGGTGACTTGCGAACTGTTTCAGTCAAGGGATTTTAACTTTCGTTCTACAGAATGTTAACAGTTTAATTAAAGGAACTTTTAGTGCCTCTGACGAAACATTTCTGATAGAATTCCACGCTTCTAGCACCTTTAATAAATATTATAATTTATTCACACATAATTTCTATTTATAATATGCTAACTTAACTGCTGCTATTTCCACAGCAGTAGTAATTGAAGCCACTGTGTGGCGAAACGTTTCCTGAATAAAGATTCCCATATGCTGCATAAGTGTCTCAATCTTCAACTTGTCGGTTTTTCAAACCATTCATCACACACAGTAGTAATTTTAATATGACATAATTTTATAGAGTGGGGGGAAGGGGGAGATCTTTAAAACCGTTAAAGGTAAACAGAAAAAGTATTTAAAATAATTGTTTTATGTAATAAAGCAAAGTGAGGTCGCTGTGGTTATTGGAATGTGTATTGTTTATGTAATAAATGCTAATCAATGATAACGTAAATCCCACATTAACTGAGAAAAGAAAAAAAACAGAAGCCACCAGGGGATATATACCGAGAGGTTTATGTCTGATGGGAGTTTAATTGATCCCCGTTTTAGGGGATCAAGTATTCCTGCTTGGTGATGAAAAGGTTACATGAAGCCTGTATTCGACTGAAGAAGCCTACTGCGTAGGTGAAACGTTTCGGAATAAAGATACCTAACCGCTGCACGTGTGTCTTACCATCACGTGGTGCCGATATACTTTAAACCTCATTAACAAACCAAGAGAATCCTAAAGGATCTTTATGTCTGGGCTTCAGTCACAGACCCTTTCGCGTAGGTCTGCTGATGAGGGCCTCTGACTGAAGCCGAAATAAATAAATCCTTTCCATCTTTTCTTTTTTCTTTCAGTCAAATGAGATTTAACTTTCTCATATTGTTACTTGGGATTCTATAATGTTAAACAGCCACTTGAAAATCGACAGAATTATAAGGTACTTTGTTTAATATTATGTACAAAATCTTTATTTTAAATACTTCTGAGGAAGCATATATTTAAATATAAATTTATTTTGCTTTATTTAGGTGTCCCGTAGCTCGATTGGTAGCGCACTCAGCTCACACATTGAGGTCAGTGGTTCGATCCCCGGTAGGGTTGGAAACATTAGGAAATGTCTCTTTAAGATATCTGCTGTCCCTGTTCACCTATCAGTGAAACAGGTACTTTGGTGTTAGTAGAATGGAGTGGGTCACATTCTGGGGACAAAACTGACCTAATTTGCTCGAAATGCTCTGCAAAACAAGGGACTTTCTATATAAGTAGTATGTCATTGATGTCAGTTAATCCTGTATACCTTGTACACGTACTTGCAGAAATTATTATTATTTTACTATCATTATTATTATTATTATTATTATTATTATTATTATTATTATTATTATTATTATTATTATAATTATATACAGGACTACCGTTGCCACTCGCTCCACCCACCACCTGCGTGTATTTTCCCTGTCGTGGCGGCCAGTGATCACCTCGCATTTTCTCCTCTACCTCAAATCCTCCCTAGATGTTCTTGCCAATCCTCTCTACCATCGCCATGTTGTGACAGCCGTGGCTTAAGAAGGACTTAGTGCAGATTCACAGTCAAGACTCGATGGTGATCCGGGTAGACAAGATTTAGTGGGATTCCCGCCTACTTAGCGCCTTGAGATACGCCAGTAAAGAGAATGAAATGGTAGAGGAATTATGACCACCCTAACAGTGTAGGTGTGGGATATGTAGTGTCTGGTCCAGCGGGTGTAGGTGTGGGATATATTGTATCTGGTCCAGCGAGAGTAGGTGTGGGACATATGTTCCAGTGGGTGTAATTGTCTTCTCCAGCGGGTGTGTGTTTTCTCCAGCTGGTGTGTATCTTTATCCAGCGGGTGCAGGTGTCTTCTCCAGCAGCGGGTGCAGGTGTCTTCTCCAGCAGCGAGTGTAGGTGTCTTCTCCAACAGCGGGTGTAGATGTCTTCTCCAGCAGCGGGTGTAGGTGTCTTCTCCAGCAGCGGGTGTAGGTGTCTTCTCCAACAGCGGGTGTAGGTGTCTTCTCGAGCAGCGGGTGTAGGTGTCTTCTCCAACAG